CTCTTTCGCGCTTTCTCTCTTACCTAGCTACACCTACGTTCCTTTCTTTTTCTCTTCCTGTCTTCCTACCTACCTACCTACCTACCTACCTACCTACCTACCTACCTACCTACCTGCCTACCTACCTACCTACATTCCTACCTGTCTACCTACCTACCCGCCTGCCTGCCTGCCTACCTACCTACCTACCCACCCACCTACCTACCTACCTACCTACTTACCTACCTCCCTCCCTCCCTACCTACCTACCTACCTACAACCAAAGAACACTCTGAACTTTAGAGGTTTGGAGCTTCGACAGGAGTAAAGGTATGGTTTTCTAAACAAACATCATTATTCTTATACCTACAAGCCAAGGTATATGAACCAAGGTCAAATCACACAACGTGAAGCGGCCCATGCATGTCTGAAGAGTAAACACAAAAATATACCCAGAAAGGAATCTATAGCAAAATTTCCAGTTTTTTGTCTCTCCAACTGAATCCCTGAGGAATAGAAAAAACATACTTTATGTTGTTTCTCTTTTTCTTCTTCTTCTCCTTTTTGGCGCTTGCCTTACATCATTCTACACCAAGCACCCACAGGCGGGATATCAGATCAGCTGTTTGGTTGAATATACATTTCTCAACCATCAATTCGTATTCTGTTGCTGGGGTGGGCTTTGGAGTTTGTCAGTTCTGGAATATTCCTTCCTTGTGAGATTTGTATTTGCCTGAGGGCTCACAGGCTAATATTTGTAGAATCAACAATTGAACCGTATGTGAATATTGGCGCCAATCTATCGTTGACTCGCCCAAATATTTGTGAATCAAGCGTTCATCTTTTATTGTCCGTCGTGCGAGATAGGACCAAGTATAGTAACTAGATAGTTCAAAACACAGTTATCTCTTGAAATGTCAGGATCTTGATATGAAAAACATGAAGAAGAATTTCATTTGTGTGATAATCAGTCAAGACAGCGAAGACAGTGGTTGGTTGTTATGACTGCTGAAGTTTGCGATTCTGGTTCCAATTTTGAATCAGCGTTTTTTTCTCAAGGACGTTTGATGTTGTTTTGCTGTGCTTGGTTTTTCTGTTTGTCTCTCGGTCTGTCTGCCTGTCTGTCTGTCTGTCTGTCTGTCTGTCTGTCTGTCTGTCTGTCTGTCTGTCTGTCT